ATATGTAAAATATGCACATAAAAGCACATACATACATTTTTATGTATACACACACATACATATGTACATATCATACATGAACACATACATAAATACATTTCTGAATCCGGTCCTAATAACAGAAAAAATACAATCTATATCATCAAATCTTTAAATATGATTTATAATCCACTTTTAGATTTTCTGGTGCATTATTCATGTTCAATTTTAATAGTAATAAAACTAACATAAACCCGGACTTCGTGAAAATAGATAAGTTTACTGGCTACAACACACCGAACAACAGTTTAAAATAGTCATCTCAAACTCATGGCCTGCTAAGTCTTTCAGTTATGTGTTTGTTGCAAATACAGCATTATAAAAATTTTAATATTTTCATTAAGACTGCTTTCTGTTTTTGTTCATTTCATTTATATGTGTACTATTTAATGTTTTAGTTAACTTACTTTTGTAAGCCCTGTGTTGTACATTTGCGGTGCACTGGGAGACAGTATGCATTTCAAAAAACACGAATTACCCAGCTCTCTGAGGAAAACCAAAACCAAACTGCAGCATGTCATTTGAACATGGATGAAGAAAAATCACTTGCCACTATATCACTTACCAGTGGAAAAAATGGGTACCATTCGGTTTCGAGGGCCGTAAAAAATTGCCAACTATTGTTGATGCCAATGCTGTGAAAAATAATTGCAGCAAGAAAGGAAGTATACTAGTAAATAACTAAGATTGATGTTAATTTCATATAATACTTTTTTTATTATTATAATTTATATGAAAAAGGCTAAACATGACTGAATGGAAGCATAACAGTAAATAGCTATTTCAGATCATTATTATAATTTATATAAAAATTGCTAAACATAACTGAATGGATGCCTGCATCGCTATTTCGCTACCGACTTATCGCTAAAGCATAATTTCATCTCGTTGGTTGTTCAAACGTAATTTTCTATAATGAATGATGCCTTTTTCTTTGAAAATATTCTCAGTAAAGTGCAGAATCGCTCACTTATTTCTTTGCCGCTTTGGTACAGCTTGAATATAGGATCCCATTGGCGATTTTCTGGCTTGGCGCACTGTTTTTCTGGTAACCCAGTAAATTCTAGAATACTCCACTATGGCAACCCTGTCGCATTCCCGCATGTTTTAAACTGGAAAGTGCCATTTTCTTTGCTGGAGCAGAAGAAGTTGACTGAGTAAACTGGTTGTACTGATTTTTTTTTTCCCCTATTATTTCTATTTTATTTCTCTATATTTTTAGATTAAGATGCCATCTGTGTTAAGCGTTGTAGAGAAGTTTCAGGGGGTATTAAAGGGGAATTTAAAATTTGAATTTTCAAATGGAAGGATGACCTTAGGAAAGCGTGGCATAGCCAACAGATTGTTTCTTGTGCATTTATGTCAAAATCAGCAATTATTCTTAGACTTTTTAAAGGAAGCAGGCTTGATAAAGGGGGGGATTTATATGTGAGAAATGTAATTCCGAAATGAAATTTAAAGCTAAAAAGTCAAAATCAGATGGTTTCATGTGGGTGTGTAGGAAAGTGATGGCAGGGAAGGAATGTGGATCTCAGAAGTCAATTAGATATGGATCATGGTTTTGTAACAGTAAGTTGAGGATAGATGAAATTTTTTTTTAACATACGAAATATTTAGAGGGAATAAAACTGCAGCTATTGAAGAAGAGTACTTTTTGGCTTCTAATGCATTAGCAGACTGGAGGCAAATTTATAAACGAAAGTACGAGTATTTTAGATTATATAGAACTATCATCGAAAAAAATAGGTGGTTATTGGGCAAAGATAGTAGAAAGTAGATGAAAGCAAATTTGGAAATACGGAAATAAGAGGGCATGCAGTTGAGGGGCAGTGGGTTTTTGGAGGGGTTGAGAGAGATTCTGGCAAACTATTTTTGGTAGCTGTCCATGATAGGAGTGAGAGAACATTATTGGGCATTATTAAGGAGTAGATTAAGCCAGGGACCACAATTTATTCTGATAGTTGGAAAAGCTATAATTGTTTAAGTAGAAAGGGTTTTGAGCATTTGAAAGTAAATCATAGTTTGTATTTTGTTGATTCAGACACCAGGTGCCATACAAACACAATAGAAAGTACATGGAGGCATGTAAAAAGCTCCTTGCCAACACATAATCGGCAAACAGATTTTAAATTTTATTTGGCTTTTTATATTTTCACTAAATCTTGCAAGGAGCAAAATATTGATGTATTCAACAAATTTCTAGAAATTGTAAGGGACATAAATTGGGCAAAGTGTAGGATTTCTTTGTAAATTTACCATGATTTTGTAAACTTTACTAAATTTCCAGCATTTCTTATATTTTTAATTTAAACATGTATTCTGAACTCCTGTTTTCAGTTTTACAACTCAAAACTTGCATTTTCAATACTGCTCCTTAAAATATGCCTCCATGTACTTGTGTATTTTCAAACTTTTCTTTACTTTTAATTTAAACATGCATTCTTAACTCCTATTTTCATCATGCTTTTAATTTAAACATGTATTCTAAGCTCCTATTTTCAATTTTACAGCTTGTAATTTGTATTTTTCAGTATGACTGCTAAAAATATGCCTCTATTTATTTATTTATTTTCAGTTTCACTGTTTAAATATATATTCTAAATTTGCATTTAAAATTTTTCTTGTTAAAATGTTCATTCTAACATCTATTTTCAATTTCAACTGCTTTTACAAGACTAAACTTTTATTTTCAATATTACTACTTAAAATATGCCCCTACTTACTTATGTACCTTCAAATTTGCTGTTTAAACATATATTCTAAAATTGCTTCTGGTTAAAATGTGCTTTCTAACTTCTGTTTTCAATTTTAACGGCTTTTCCATGGCTTGGCGACATTTCTGGTCGCCAAGCCAAAAAATTGCCAATGGGGTCCTATACTCAAGCTGTTCCACCGCTTTTTACAAGGGTAAAAACAATTGGATTTTTGTCAATTTTCTTTTACTTTTTAAGTGAAAATAGGTCGATGTGTACATAGATAAAGTCAAGGGTGTGTGCAGTGCCATTTTTGTGCAATTCTAGGATTTTTTTTTAAGTGAAAATAGGTCGATGTGCACATGGATACTGAGTATGTGCAATTCTTAAAAACGCGTCAAGCAGTGGGTGATTCTGCACTTTACCCAAAATTCTATTGCCGACTTTTCGTCACGGGCAATTCCAAAATTGTTAAATCCATAGGATATCAAAAAAAGGATTTAAAAATTAAACTAGTATTTCAATGGCGTCTTAAGAAATATAGAACTATATAAACTTACGCAGTGTAAAATCAGCGTGTACGCTATATTTGGTGCGCTGTTTAAATGGGCGCGTTTGCTAGATTTGGTGCTTTTGCGCATACATTTTCGCTGCAATTTTTTTACGGCCCTCAAAATGGAATAGTACCAAAAAATGTGCTGTGGGATATTGATATGACTGCAATATTGATAGTGCAGGCAACTACTCTAGTGATATTGGCATCCAGTTTATACAAACAAGCATGCAATAATTAAAACTCCACTAAAATCCTGAAGGATACTACTTTCACTGCTTTATATTATCATTCAACTAATGTAATTAAAATGGTCTTGGGCTGCAATCGCATAAAGCAGCAACTAATGTAACAAAATAAATATAGAACAGATGTATCAGATACACCACGTTGATGAAGTTACTGTCAAAAATTTTCTGTGAGAAAATTCCGTTTTCGCAGACTTGCTGGGCATCAGGTGCAAAATGTAAGCAAACAAACCAAAGAAAAAAAAAAAGGTTAGTAAAAAAAATAATAGAAATATATAAAAATGAGTTGCCATAGGAAATAAAATCCAATAAGATGGCATGCACGAGACAAAAACTGCCATATTTGACAAGCGGTACATCTGCCACTTATACCATATAAATACATAGATAATTCTGTTGCAGACAAATATTACAACAAAATTTAAGCCACTTGCTTACATTTCAAGTCCTGAATAAAAAACTTTTTTTTTAATCTGAGCTATTACCAAATTTGATGTGAATAAATTTGGTTAAGTTAAAATTAATAAATATGAACATACTGCAATACAAAAATGGTAGTTTATGTAAGAATAATAAAATTTCCTGCATTTATCTTTTTTAACTGTATATTAACAGGAAACTAGTAAATGTCACTTAGAACAAGTTCCATACACAGTATGCTATTTTCTATTTACGAACAAATATTGAAAACACTCTAGTACCAAACAATAAAACATCCCTAAATTTATTGCTATCATTTTTTAATGACTTTATTTCTTCATATGCTATTAAACATTCATAAAATGTCTCAATATTTTACCAGGATAGGACAGCCAGCCCAGGAGCTCCAAAATCAGAATTTACTAGCTGTATGGATTATCATTCAAAAGTAGCCACACATAATTTTCTACAACAAGCAATAACTACCACATAAACTGTCTAGTGCAGCATTTTTCTGAGATAATTAATGCTAAGGAGAAAACATTAGCAACAATTATCAGACAAACAATTTAGTATAACATTTTGAGGGTACTTGTCTGTTAGTCAGATAAAATGTATCTTCTAGGTATTTAGGGAGCAAGATAAACCGCGAAATATGGCACATAATGAGCCAATAACTATCAGTACTATCTTAACATTATTGGCCCCTCAGCAAACTAGTGCGTAGCGGCTCCTACACCAAACTCTCGTAGAGATGGATTGTTTGTCCAAGGACTCCTAAACTTGTGGGCCCATGCGTAAATGTCGGGGCTGCTTCTATGTGCTAAAACGTAGTTGCTGCCTTTAACCCGCATGAACAAATTCATCACGCCTATACTTACTCTTGATAATTAGCGACATTGGGGAGGGGCCGTCTAAAAAAAGTATATCTATAACTTATAGTTAGGTTTAAATTTATTAATATACAATATGACCAGAAAAAAAAAAAAAACAGATCATGAGGGAAAAAAAAAATACAGAACTTTATAACCCCATTGATAAGCTTACTTGAATTTTTAAGTGATACTAAATATTAACAACAGTAATGTCGTTTATGAGCATAAGCATAAATTGTTACAATCTAAGGCACTTTTTTAAACTTCAGTTTCAGACAAAACCTACACTTGTCACTTTCAATACGCTTTAGCATGCGCTGAAATTTTATACGAAAACATTAGATCCGAAAGTTAAACATGAGGATATAGAGTTGAATTGTTTAGAGACTGGGCATTTGTCATAATTTTTTTTTGAAAAAGATGTCGTGCATGTGTTATCTTTTACTGGAAAAGATCCCCTATTTTTTATTTTCATTTATTGAACTGAATTATTGAATCATTTATTCATTTATTGAATCTAATTACATTTGTTGCAAAACTACCAGTTTAATATCAGAATACCTAATGTATGCTTGCTGCGGTATTTAAAAAATATCATTAACTATGTAAAAGTAAAGTCTATTTTCTCTTGCAGTAATTATTTACTTTTTTATTCTCAATTTAATATCTCTTTTTCAACGATTAAAAACTCGCAGTGAAAGAAACAATTTCAATTAAATAACAAAAATGTAACAGTAATTATATAAATAATCCTGAAACAATCTTAATAGTATTGTTTTATATTGTTACACACAGGGTTGAGCTATAGGAGGCTAGAGCTATTCGTTAAATTTGTGTTCAATCACCAGCAGTTGAGCAGCCAAAAGTCACCAAACACTGCCAGTTTGGTCCTGGGTTCGAATCCCGACAACAGGCTAGCTGCATGGGCATTTTCCTGGTTTTTCCACGTGAAACATATATATACAAGCCAGTTTCCTTTAGAAATTAAGGTATTCTTACCTTTAGGCAGATAGCCCGCAAGTTGTTTGGTGTTATTAAATAGAGCAAACCAAACCTTTTCTTTTTGTTTGTGACTTAGAAAGTACTGCTGCTGAATGTGTACGTGTCTATATAATTTTATACTAGTTCGAATTCATATAGAAAACTATTTAAAAAACCCATTTAATTGCAATTTACTCTCAATTGAATTGTTGGAAAGGAAATATTTTCAATTTTTCAAGATTCATATCAGGATGCTGAAAACAATAGACATTTAAATAATGTGTCTTCAAGATCTTTAATTAACATATTATTGTAAATAAAATGTGCAGTATTCGCCAGTAAAAGATTGTCACCAGATGAAATCCCTTATCTGTTTTTAGACGATTCGTATATATGATCAGGCATAAGATAAATTTTGCTCACCTTTGGAACTCTAAATATATCTGGTTTCTTGATTTCCAAGCTTTTATTCTTCAGTCTAACAATTCCATAACCACTGTTTCATCCAGGGACAAAACAGTTTCCATTTTTTGACTTTTTCATAATGAAAATTTATATCAAATCAGTATTTTCGCTATTACTGTCTATGCAAAACTACGAAAAGACAGAAAGCTAGTGATTGCAGCGCCCTCTATAAATAATGCGACAATAAGTGGACCATTTTTGGGAAAAGTGGTAATACTAGTTTCCCCTCTGTGATATCATCCCTCTCTTCATCCACCGCCTCATAGAGAAATAACTCCACCTTCTTGTATTTTTAAACATTTATTTCACAAAAACAAAACTAATACTAAACTACAATACTAATAACTGAAATATATAAAGTAATATAAGTAAATTTCGTTTTCCTTAATGGTTTCCACGAGCCTTCCGCATGACCTCTCTGTCGGTCTCCCTCTTGGAAACTAAAACTTTTGCCCCCTTCAGATTAAGAGCCAGCGCCCTCTATACATCTCGTTGTTTTGTCGTCACCCATACATCATATCCCCCATCCAAGATTGAAATAGGGTGAAAGCCTATTGAAATATGACAAATTATGGTGACGTCAAACAAAAGAGTTACTTACCTACTAAAGTCTACAAATCAATCAATACTGAAGTTGAAAGATATATAACACAATACTTATACAGGTTACTTCTACACCTACTACAAGACTTCTAAACCAGGGATGGGCAAACTACGGCCCGCCGAAAGGTTCTATCCGGCCCGCGGATAGAATTTCGCCGTCCTCTCCTGACAGCGAAAATTTTTCCCCAGCGGCCGTCTGTTCTTCATAGCGTGTAATGTTGTTTTCTCTGTACATCATAATTTTCCATACATAACTTTCGTAGTGGATGAATGTCAATGAATATTAAGTAAAATTATAAGGGAATAAAATATAATGGAAAAGTAATAATATTAATTCAGAAGTCAAACAACAAAAATCAGCGTTAATTTACAAAATTTTCACAGGACTAGTTTCGATGGTTTTACCGAACCATCATCTTCAGTTGCAAAACCGCAAATGAGTATAATCGCAAGTAATAATATCTCTATTTATTTCTAACAGCAGGATTAATTTGATAACATCTGATTCCAGGCAGTTCCACTCCTTCCAATTTTGTTGTTGTAATCTTTTACAATTATTGGGTTCTTTACAGTTCTTTTCCGTGTTTCAACATCAGTCATAGACTTATTATGGACTGTACTCATCAAACGGATATCCTTCTTATCTTTCCAATTCACAGCTTCATTTTTTTCTCTTTTTCTGCTGAGTAGACGTTGAAGATCTCTCACTGTCTTGTATCTACTGTAAAATGGCGCGAATATTCATATAACCCGGGATGAAATTCAATTAGAAATAGAATGCCTGATAAGTACTGCCGTCTAGGAGGTATTAAATTGTAGATCGACATGAAGGCGGCGCTGGCTTTCTTTAAAGTATATGCCACATGATCTTTAAACGTTAATTGTTCATCTAGAATGGCTCCTAGATATTTTGTTGAACTGACAAGTGGAAGTGGAGAATTATCTATTGTAATGTTAATATTAATTGGCTGATTTTCACGATACCTTCTTAAACAGGACGATATTGCTCTTACTGGTGTTTATTTTGAATTTCCATTATTTACAGAGATTTATGTAGTTAATTTCAAAATGTTAATTTTCTATGGCATGCTGTGGTTTGCGTGAACGTGACATAATAATGGTATCGTCAGCCTATTTGGCTGTTTTAACACAAAAGTGGTTCTGGAGGACCATTTATATATAAATTAAAAAAAGTCGGTGCAAGTACCGAGCCTTGAGCGACTTCAGCTTTGAGATATTGTTTGACAATTCTTGCCCTACTCTGACCTGAAAAGTTCGACTTTTTATATATGAACTGAATAATCTGATAATTCCTTGAGGTATACCTGATGAAGTTATTTTGTAAATTAAACCGGTATGCCAAATCCAATCAAAAGCTTTTTCTATATCTAAAAAGCAGGCTGCTATGCATGATTTATTAGTAAAGGCTTCTCCTATTGTTTCAATGATGTTTAAAATTTACGTAGTAGTTGAATGTCCGTGTCTGAAGCCGAACTGGTACTGTCTGACGTAATTCAGACCTCAGTTTAAATAGTAGCTTTCTATCCTACTTTGCATAACGTGCGAAACTGAAATCTAATTCTGGCAGGAAAGCATGGGTTGGAAAATGAGAGTTTAAAGGAAAGGTTGTTTCCAAAATAAGTTTAACTGTTAGGAAAATAAAATAAAGCCTCACAAAGACATAAAATCATAAGGTTAAGTTAGGTTATTTGGACATGGTAAAAAAACAAAAAGGTTATCTGCCTAAAAGGGTATGCTTTTGTGGAGGACTTTTTAAGCGAAAATCAGTCGTATTCAACGCACCTATCGGAAAAATACCTAAGTAACCACACCCTTCGTGTGGACTGTAACTCATTTCAAACTACTAGAATTCAGTCTCTTAAGTACTCCATGCTGAGAATATGCAAAAGTAAGAGACAGAAGATTGATAACAATTTACAGCTTTCTTTGTCACTCAGTAAAATAAATGCAAATAATTACATCGTAGGCCTACGTGGGGCTAAACACTAGTAGTATGATCCGACTTGAATTGCTGGGAAGGCCCTGACTGAATAAATGATTTCGAGGTTTTCATCAAACAAATGCATATGAGAGGGTTTTTTTTTTCTTTTTAAAATCTTTCAGGAAAGATTTTTTTACCGTTAAGGGCATATCTCTTGTGTGATTTGTTGCATTCAATTAAATACGCAAATTAACACGCATGCTTTGAAGAAAGAATTTAAATAAAGTGCTTTTTCATGGGAAAACTTTATACATGCAAATTAAAGAACTAGCGATATTTAGAAAGATGGAGTTGTCAAAGTATATTCTAGGAAGCTGATTATTTCAGAATAAATTATCTGAGAGAATTATTTGAATCAAAATTTTCTTACATTTCAGTTGCATTATTACTTGATTTCCTCATTTTCAATCTTTTTAAGCAATGCAAACTGTTCGTGAAGCAACCCAGCAGCTGTCGAGCGGTAAAGTCGTTGAACACTGTTAGTTCGACTTAAAATCGATTCCAGGCGAAAGGGTCAGCTGCATAGGCGGTTTTGTATTTTTTCCCAAGGATAACCTGGATAAGAACCGATTTTCCTTAAAAACTCCTTCACGAACGTCTTCCTGCCCTTACTCAGGCAAGACTCGAGTGCTTTACCATATCAAATAAACCAAAACTCAAAACAAGTTTACTTTGGACTTTGCCTAATGCTTCAATCAGATGAAAATATGAAATAACCATTTTTGAAAAAGCTTGGAAATATGGCCTAATAATTTCATTTTTTATCTCACATATATTATTATTATTCACTGAAAGAGGTATAAAATCAATTGTGCTGGATAATATATAGCAAAATGTAAATACTGAAAAAATCAATTTGTTCATTCTCTGCTCAGCTATTTCTTATGTTGCTTTTAATAAAAGGTTCATATTTTTCACATTAAACTTTAACACCTTCTCTTTCTCTAACATCTACGTCTATGTCATTGAAATATATATAAAAAAATCTAAATCTAATAAATATGTTTAAAAAAATTAGTCTCCGGTAACTCATTCCTGTATTAGTCCATTACATTATTTTCATTTTTAAACTAAAAGCATGCACAAAAATTGCATTTGGATTTCAAAATATAAAACATTTTTTTGTTCATTATGCTCCTTTTTTGCAAGTAATTTTAGCCCTTTTAAATATAATTGATCTAAGATAGCTTTGTTCATATATTCAGTAACTAGAAAGCCTGGCGGTCATACGAAATGACGGCTATTCTAGATATTGTAAATTGTAATTAAAATGATTTGTGCAAAGGTGTATGCTAATTCAAAATGAATTACCCAGGGCAGGCGGCGAGGACGCCCCTTTGCTTACCGCCCCACGGGGTTTCCCCCTTCTGCTTGCTTAATTCCTTAAAGTAGAGTGCAATGAAGGAAACCACTGGCGGTGCATTTCTTAAGAGCCACCGCTAGCTCAATAAATAAAGGTGATTTAAAAAATAAAAGTTAATCACATGTCAAGATCTTTGTAACCCTTTTGTGAGATCTTCCTCTTTTTAAGCGCGCCTTGCAGAGGACCATCAATTAATTTAAATTTTGTCGTTATTTCAGAACTCTATGACAGAACCCGAACTATTGCGTCAGTTGTAAATCATTTCAAAACATGATTGCAATGCAAAAAATGTTCACGTTACCCCTGAAATGCCAATTGCGTTCAGCGAAAATCAGTTTAAAATACAAAACAGATTTAACAATTTTAAGAAAAGATTTATGGTAACATTGTATTTCGTATCTATTTTGCAACAAGAAAGAAATTCTGAACTGGATTGAAACCAGTGTATGAAACCATTGCCTAGTACAGTTACGCAAGCAACCAATAAGCTATCGGCGACAAACACTTAAGCCGCATATATATAAGATGTTCAATGCGCGTAATTAATGCACTAAATATAAAAGTTGTGAAACTTAAATTGGGGAATATAAAAAACTATTCCATGGAAATACGCTATGCCTTGTATATTAGTCTAGTAACGGTCAGCTACTTTTGAATATTGCAGCATCCAGCATGCATGTCATGTGACATTTGTTAGCAGTACAGAATTGAAGCAAACAGATAATTTCGATAGCTGTGACTTTTCTTTAGCATAGTTTTTTCTCACTTTACTTTTAAGCTAAAAATATAACTTGAAAAAAATTTTTTTCCTTCAGCTTCCAGTTATTTGTTTCTTAAAATATACAGAGTACTCTCGATTATCCGAGCTAATGCCGAGGAAACACATCCCGGATAATTGTAGGGGGGGAGAAAAAAAGGATAATCCAAACTATCAGTTTTTATGCACATTGTAAGTCTTTTAAAAAAATCGGTAATTTTACTTTGTTTCTGCGAAAATTTAATTATTTATCGTATTTCATTGCTTATTTTTTGGGAGTGCTATTTTATCATTATATTCGATTTCCTAGGTCGACGAAGTTGAATAGAATTTCAACAGAAGTCATTGCTGTTTCGGGTCTAATGCAGCTGCCAATATCTTCTAGATTTTGTAACAAGTCAGGAAGTCGTGTGCGCTTTCACATTTTTTGTGATTCAGTGCCAAAAGTGAAACGATGTTTTGTTCTTAAGATTTTAATTCAATCAGCCGTTTTTGAATTTTTGGATATTTGATTGCGATGGAATGTTGCATGTCAATATATAAACAAATGTCTGTGTTATAAATCCTGGCGAAGAAAAAAGTTCCAAAGATTCTTATGTAAATATTTTGTCATTGTCACTGAATTTTATGCGACGTAAGGTGCGAAGAATGTGATGTTTAGTAAATAAACTGATAAAGGCTAATAAGAAAACGATTTAAAAAATTGTAAGTTATCTTACTAAGAAATTTGAACATTAATAGGATGAAATTAGAAAAGACTGGGAAAAAAATAGAAAAATGTATGCCAACACTTAACACTCTACCAGGAATTCTAAAAGTATGCTGCTGTTAAAAAATTTGTGATTTTGTTGTTGAATTTCATGTGGCGTAAGTTCCAACAGAATAATTCCAGACACTTAATAATAAAACAAAACAGACAAAAAATTTGTATTAGCAGAAGTGAGTCTAAGAGCAGATTGGTACCTGGAATGCTCATCGAGGACATAAAACATTAACAAATCCTCTAGTGCGACGTTAAAATCTGAATCCTTTTAGATTTTCTTTCTTTTTTTGAGCATAATATTATTTTACAAAACTTACATGGATAATTTCATCTTTTAATTTAAAAAGAAAAATAATTATCTTCTTTTATGTTTTGTGCATTTTTCTTACTTTAAGTGTACATTATTGTTCTATAATATTTTAATCTGATTTAGCTTATTCTTTTGCTTAAGGCTGCATACTAATTGCACTTGGCTAATTAACACTTAATCTAAATAACGGGGAACATTGCCAGACTTCAAAGCATAATCCAACAACACAAAGTGAGAGTAAAAGTCGTAAGATCAACTAAAACAAAAACATTTATTTGTGTTTCGGCTTGCAATCATAAAACTAAAATGTTAACACAAATTAATGACATTTTGCATGCTGATACGTGCAACAGAACTAAGATACTTTCCCTTAATTTAAACTAGCATTTCTGTGAGATTAATAGAAAACAGAAGAGTATTAAAGATTCAACATAAAAATAAACTTGCTTCATAAAATAAACTTGCAGCTTTATTTAAAACTGGCCCTCTGAGAATAATTTAATGCAATAAGAAACATAGGCGAACACAGATTGAGTTTCATGTGTGCGAGTCCTGAATCACAACAATTTTAATTCCAGCCTGACGAATATTCATAATTAAATTCTCTATTAAACATGAAATTTTATACTGACATAAATTCTATTTGCATTTATGTATGTAGTTATATTTTTGGAAAAAATACTGCGAAATTTGCTTACAAAGAAACTTTTCAGCAACTAAGTTACCTAGCTTTAATTGTTTATTCAACTAAGTTACCTAGCTTAATTAACTAATTTTCTAAAAATATTGTTTGTGTAAATTTGCAAAGCCATGAAGAAAGTCTATACAGCTGAACAGTTTGATTTTTTAATTTTCAATAATTTTGATGCCTGCAACTCATTCTGAATAAGTTCCACTAAACGATAACTAACAAAGTGTTTCAATATCAAAGATTCACAATGCAGGAGTGAAAGTTCTTTATTGAATATAAATTCATTACACATATTTACAAAAGAGAACCTAGTGATTGGCCAGCCAATCACTAAGTTGTTAACAAACATATTACAAGCATAAATACAATATATAGTTACTTATTATTACATCCGAAAGAATAATCATTAGCAATTGTAAATTTTTCTTTTAAAGAAAAGAGATGGTTTTTTTTTTATTGATTTTACTACTTAATTTTAAGTTATGGCACCTTTCAAGAAACATAATTTCGAAATTTATTTGTCAGAAAAAACAGTGGGATTATAATTGTTTGTGTATATTTTATTTCCAAATAGAATTTCCTCTTATATAAGTACCTTTTATATAAGTTTCATACTTACGTAACATTAAACTTTTAAAGTAATAAAACCGATTACTGTATATTTCATAATGCATCTTATTATCACCTGTAAATTTAAGAAATTTTTTCGAATAATTATTTTAGATAATTTGACTCTTACAGCTAACAGTTGACTACCATTTTGTATAGAAAAATCATAAGAGAATTAATTGTAAAACTTTGAGAAACATTATCCGATATAAAGCCGGTGATACTTTTTAGTTGAGAATTAGAGGAAAATGTTCTCCTTTTTTTATTGCTATTTTTGGCTGCATAAAACTAAATTTTATTACTAGTCTATTCAAATATGAAAAATATCCATTCTTGGCCAAGTTTTCAGGGAATTATTTCTGAATTAAAGCAGCAAATGTTGTTAGAATACCATGCAATTTTAGTAAATTCTCTGCATTTTTCTAAGCAATGAACATTAAGTCTCTATTCGTATGGGGCTTAATTCTTCATTAAAGTTTTAGTTCTCTAAAGCGGTATGGTTTAAAATAACATTTTTTTAACTATCATACTTAATTAAAACTAAATATCAGTTCTCAAATAAAACAAAATACTAAAATTAGTGGAGACATAAAGTTTGCTCAAATATACATTATCTAAAATTTCTGAACTGATGAAATCTGGTATAATTTTCTCATTAAAAATAAGTTTCCAAGCACTTTAAGCATTTTAAACACTTTTCGCTCAAGGAGTGTTGATATCGCTGAGTGTATTTAAGTCACTAATCTTTAAGTTTTGACGAGTTTAGAACTGCTTCGGAGAGTCTTTGTGATGCTGATCAATCGTAAATAAGCCAGAGTTAAGACTGAAGTATTCAGGCGAGTCATCGCATCGTACATTATACCACCAATCGCAGATGTGTAGTTCTTGATGAAATATTGTACCATTAGGACACATGAAACTATGTTTTGTCATATCCATGTCACAATTGTGAAAGACCTAAGGAAAATTAGGAAAAAAAAATTATTAACAGACAATGAAAAATAATAATTTCCATACTAACATTTTTAATGTTGCGTGAAAGTATACTTAGTTTTATATTACACAGAATAAACAAAGATACTTATATTAGTGATTGCGAGATTTCTTAGATGGATTTCTATGTTACTTTTGATTCTTTGCCATAACTATTGTCAGAATTTTTCACTGACTTTACTCGCAATAACTAATGTGTGCGGCACTGGATTAAGCGATACGTTATAACAGCCACCCATGAACGCTAGGCTTATGAAACGTCAAATTTGTCAAAATATTATTTGCTTGTATGACACTACTCGTATTATATCAAAAGGCGCCAAGCACGCTATTTGCCCTAGGCACGAAAATATCTATATCTGGTGCTGAGCTTGTGCTTTCCTTCCCATTTTGATTATTTATGCTCTGGTATAACTTTTAAATAAGTCTCAGAGAGCTGTAGATAAGAAATGAATATATCAGTAATTGGTCATAGATCTGTAAACACGACTGGTGGGAAAAGGCTAATACATCAGCTCCATGCGAATCGACAAAGATTTGACAATCCATGTGGATCGATAGGGATGACATTAAACAAATATACGGAAACCTATGAAATCTGGTAACTTTCTTTTTTTACCACTAATTACAAGAAACTAGTTTACGACAGCGAGGTTTCGCACGTTCCCACACAGCACAAGAAACACCTTCGGGATATTTCCCTAGCCTCCTAAACACATCCTGCCAAGTGCTTAATGTTATATCTAAAAATATTCTCAGGACAATCTCTCGAAGTCCATCGACAAAGTTAGAGATGTTATTAAGATTTGAAGACCAACTATCTACATCCTCAGGACATCCCGAAATATTAAATTAATCTTCTAAACACATTCTCCCAACACTCCTTCCATGCTTAACATCACATCCTACGATATCCTTATGACATTCCGAAATATCTTATTATTTTCCTAAGCACATCTTTCCAAGAACTTAATGTCACATCCCAGGATATATTCAGGGTATCCTCTCTAGGTCCAACTACAAAGTAAGGTTTATTATTTTAGGATTTGGAGTCCAATTTCCTACATTCTTAGTACATCCTGAGGGCCGCCTAGATGGTATAGTGGTTAGGGGAGCTTGACTGCGATACCGAAGGGCCAGGGGTCGAATCCCGGAGAAGGCATGGTTGTAACTGTCCGTCCCTTTATTGGGGGCAATGGTGGCTCACCTATTAGGTTCCTCCATAATAAAGAGACCATCACATCTGGCATTAGTATACATTAATGGACTCTGTTATAACTGTAATTGTTAACAATCTGCCATTAGGATTAAAAAAAAAAGTTCGTCCTGAGATATCCCATTAAATTCCTAAACGAATGTTTAATGTCCAGGATATCCTTAGGACATCCCGAAATATCCCATTAACCTCCTAAGCCATTCCTCCTAAGTGCTTAATGCCACATCTCAGGATATTCTCAAGACATTCCGAAAATATACAGTTATCCTTCTAGTTACATCCTGCAATGCTGCATTTTCTTCAGTTGTGATGCTGAAGGTCAATCACTAGTGACTTAAATCCCAAGAGAAATGTTGCCGAAGACCATCACACACGTTCTTCCTAGTTCACATCATCTCCCTTTTTAAGAGTCTTGGAATTCTAGCGAGCACAAATTTTTCTGTATCCCAGTATGTGGACTATCACTGACACAGATGCTTTTGCCATACCTGTGTGCTTCATAATCTACCTATGGTAATGCGCCACCCATTTTGGGTGAGTTTGTAAGGATCTTAAGTTTTACTAACGTTTATTTTATTTTAAATCTTTACTATCACTTCTTATTTTCTACTTCCGGCCAGAATTAAAAGCGTTAACTTATTTATGCAAAATTTGTCTGGCGAACGCCAAGTACTTAAGTTGTGGCTTTTTGCCAAGCGAGAGAAAGGAAGAAGTTAGTCGAAGCAGGCCGCTTGTCTTAGAAGTTTTACTCAGTTGCTGTTTGCCTTCCAGGCCAGAGGTTTAATCCTCTTGATAATTTTAAACGTATTGTAGTGTTAACAGTTCTCTGTACTACATACGGCTTCCTGTTAATATACGGCCAATCTTCCACGTAGGCCCTTGTTTATTATTCCAAAGTTAAGTTAGAGTTTAGTTAAATATTTTTATATTCTTACGTTCAGACCACAAGCAGTTGGTCTCTGTATTCCGAAGTACGGAAATTATTGTAAAGAGTGAAAAATAAAGGGTTTTGTATACCCTTTTTGTGTATCTTCTCTACTTCCCACAGTTATTGAACATAGCTTTAGTAAGCTCCCTGTTCCGATTCAGGTCTGTGCATGTTCCCAAAGAAAGTAAGACGGAACATTGAACCTGATAGTGGCGCCCAACGAAGAAGAATAACCATGGCCGAGTTTCAAGAAGAACCTGTGCTGAAAATTTTAGCCACCAAGATATTGTGGCGATAAGAAATAGGGCGGCCCATTACGAACTAATAGATGGTCTATTATTTTATAAAAAAACTACGAATTCCAACAACGAATTTCGACCTGTTATCCCAGCTAGTCTTAGATTAAATATCCTGCAGGAGTTGCATGACAGCCCTTTAGCTTCTCATGCTGGTATTCGAAAAACTATACAACGCGTACGCGAGGCAGTCTATTTTCCTGAACTGCAAAAGTTAACAAGGGCGTATGTCCAGTCCTGCCCAACATGTCAAGCAGTTAATTATATTAATTTCCGCCCGGCCGAGTTTCTAAATAGTATTAAATCCGAATTTCCAAATGAAATAATTGGCATCGATTTATTGGGCCCTTTCCCAAAAAGTCAGTTAAATAAAAGTCGCTATCTCCTTGTTATGGTTGATCATTTTAGTAAGTGGACCGAAATTGTTCCCTTAAAACGAGCCTAAGCGAAATTAGTTACTGATTCTATTTTAAATAAATATATTTTAAAATACGGGGCGCCCCTAAAAGTTATATCGGATAATGGTCCTCAATTGTTTAAGTAATATATTTGAAGACATGTGCCAAAAAACTGGGCATACGTCATTTAAAAATGGTCCCTTATCGGCCGCAATCAAATATAGCGGAACGGGTCAATAGAAATATAGTGAAAATTATCCGTAGTTATGTTAAAAATTTTCATAAAAGCTGGGATAACTATGTCAATGAATTTGCTTTCGCCCTTAGGACCGCAAAACATGATACAACGGGCAAAAACTCCTGCTGAGTTATTTTTAGGCAGAAAGATTATAACGCCGTTAGATAAATTATTTTATGTGCAACAAAGAGCCCCAGAATTTTAAAATGGGTGATATAGAAAAATTAATTAAAGAAGCAAAAAAGAATACTGAAGTAGCACAGAGAAAACACAAGCTTTATTATGATTTGAAACGACGGGGAGTAAATTATAAAGTAGGGGATGAAGTGTTAAAAATTAAGCATTCACTTTCTTCAGCACCAGAAGATAAAACTGTCAAATTTTTTCCACGATTTGAAGGACCATATGTCATAGAAAAAATAACTCACGCTGTAGTGGTGTTAAAAGCCAGAAATGGTGAAACCTGCACCGCAAACGTTGATCAAATAAAACCCTACTATGATCGTAATAAAATGCAAATTTTCAAAGATCTTTTGCAGGATCCGGCACGGCAGACACAAGCTCCAGAGGTGGAACAACGTAAGCACAAGGACAAGCCATTAGGAGGCAGGAGCAATTGAAAAGAAAGTTTCCCCGTTGGAAAATTGAAGGTAACAAGAAAAAGAAGCCGTTCCACCGTCCAGAAAAGAGAGCTCACGAACACCCCTAGAATGAAGAAGAGAGAAGTAACACGAATGCAAAGAAAGCCAGGAGAAATAACGGCAACTATAACCCGGCTTCCAAACGGAAGATCGACTCATCGGACAGGACTCTCCGCAGCAAATGTCGCCGAACTGCGGAAGGGCCACCAGCGGCGGAGGAAAAGATACAAGGAAAATTTGAACGGCCAGCAACGAGGTCCAAGCAGGAACGAGCGAGAAGTATCCCGGTTCCGCCAAGACCAGCTGCCATCAAACGGCCAGGACCACAGGCAGAGGCGAAAAAGAAGGTATTCAAGGGTGACCGAACTGGAGGAAAAAGAAAGCTTCTAGAGGAAGGGACTGAAGGACGAGCCCGCACAAGAAGGAGGATAAATCAAACCAGAATCTGCGCTACCTTCCAGGACTGGGCTCAGAAAAGAATGTCCGAATATCACAAAGATAAGTAAAATTTTATGTTACTTTGCAAACTTAAGTTAATCTTTCATTCTTACTGCAAGTGGCAGATTTCAAGAAGTTTTACCTCATGTGAGGTCTACCTTTATCGCCAAAAAGGCGAGAAATGAGTTTGTTACCGATTTTGGTATTATGTTTTTCAATTACTACTCGCGCGTAAAACTAAAGTTGATGTATATAATAGGAATGTGTAAATACTTAAATATTGTAAAAGTTATTGTATAAATTTTTTATTTAAAACATTCTGGCAAGAAGAAGTTTTAGTCTGAAAGACTTTTTGAAATGTAGTATTTCAATGTAGAAGAATTGGCACTTGCTTTGAAAAGAATACAAGTTAACAATGTACTACTAATGTATGTTTTAAAATGCGTAAAATTAACGGCATGTCAATATGACCTTATATACAATGTGAACTGTTATTTTAAATGTTAAGAAATAGTATGATATGGTAAAAGTGAAAGTAATGCAAAAAAAAAAAAAAAAAAAAAAAAAAAAAAAAAAAAAAAAAGTTTTTTATTCGTGTGACTGTAAAAAGACCAAATTATGGTGAATATGTGTTAAAGGTTGAATGAATATAGTTAGGCTCTCTGACGCTACACTTCAGAGTTAGCCACTTTCAGAATAGTACCTCAGGGTTTAGAGTTGAAGATAGGGTGTGTTACGAGGTCTTGTTATGTTGAATTTTAACACGTTAGTGTTTTTGATTGTAGGCGGCAGTGTTGAACACGTATACATAAACACATTCGTGTTTAGTGTTTTTCTTTTACAACACATGTCAGAGAGCACGGGAGAGATAATTAAAATAAAGTCCTGAATGAAATAAGAATGTTAAAGAGAAATATAAATATTCATGTTATTTGCCATTTCGTTGTGTAACATTTCATTAAACTAGTTTTCCTTCCAGATCTCTGGAAGGAACCAGATTTGAATAAAGCTCCTGTTTAGATGCAGTACAGATGAAAAATTGGTTGTCCATGGAGCTGATATTGTAAAAACAATTTTTTTTAAAATTTCTAGTTTCTAGTGAGAAATGTTTGTAAAAGATTGGCCTCGCGTTAGATTCTAGAGCTAAAAGTTTTCATCAAGGTCGTTTTAGACCTCAGTTTCAAACTAATTAACTCTGGCGGGAAGTATGTAAGGATCTTAAGTTTTACTAAAGTTTATTTTATTTTAAATCTTTACTATCACTTCTTATTTTATTTTCTACTTCCGGCCAGAATTAAAGCTTTAACTTATTTATGCAAATTTGTCTGGCGAACGCCAAGTACTTAAGTTGTGGCTTTTTGCCAAGCGAGAGAGAGGAAGGAGTTAGTCGAAGCAGGCCGCTTACCTTAGCAGTTTTACTCGGTTGCTGGTTGCCTTCCAGGCCAGAGGTTTAATCCTCGTGATAATTTTAAACGTATTGTAGGGTTAACAGTTCTCTGTACTACATACGGCTTCCTGTTAATATACGGCCAATCTTCCACGTAGGCGCTTGTTTATTATTCCAAAGTTAAGTTAGAGTTTAGTTAAATATTTTTATATTCTTTCGTTCAGACCACAAGTAGTTGGTCTTCGTATTCCGAAGTACGGAAATTATTGTAAAGAGTGAAAAATAAAGGGTTTCGTATACCCTTCCTGTGTATCTTGTCTACTTCCCACATTTATTGGACACAGCTTTAGTAAGCTCCCTGTTCCGAGTCAGGTCCTTGCAGGTTCCCAAAGAAAGTAAGGCGGAACATTGAACCTGATAATACATAAATTCGCTTAAAATTTAGAATAGGATTTCATCGAAACACTCTGCAGCAACGGTCTTAGAAAAAGAGAAACTACCTCTCGAAAGGCAATATAAATACTTATTTCCCTTTACAAATTTAGAGCTAATTTTTTAAGAATGAATTTCGTCTAACTTCACAGTTAACAGGCTACTCTTACATATTCTACAGTAATGTTTTTAGATATTTAACGTAAAATCTAGTATACATTTTCTTTATTACTCTGTCAGCATATTATATTCTTTTTCACATTAACAGCAATCCTGTCTAAAAACTAAAAGTACAAAAAATATAATTTTTAAAAATATCTTTTAGCTTTGAGATCTCATTTAAGAGAAATGGTATTTATGTTTAAAGAACTGGTAAAAGTCAGAAGAGAATGAAGAATTAAACTAAGAATAACTAACTTTAAGCTTAGCAAAACTGAAGTTAAACTAGAATAATATAAAGAAGAGAATGTAGCAAAGAAGAATGTCAATATAAAATTTGAGATTACTTAACAAATCATCTCCAGCTTGATAATGATTTACATTTTGTAGAACAGGTGTAAATATAAAGTTGAACTTATTATGTCAGCCGAAACTAAACTTAAAATATTGTAGTTCGCACATCATATTAGAGTAAACCCTTGAAAATTGAGTATTTACAAAGCACGATTTCGCGTATATGTGTTATTTTAATTGTACCCATTGAATTTCTAACGCAAGTGTGTCATTTATGCTCTGTTTAACGTTCACTAATCAACACTGAATGCTTGCTGATATGAGGTTTGGCAAGAAGTTATCAACAGTTTAAAGGATTTCCATCTATTGAGAATATAACGAAAGAAATCGTACAAATTGCAAAAGCAATTGGGCAAAAGATATTCAGATATTTAAGAAAGAGAAATTAAAAAATTATTTGAGTAATGACGATTGAGAAATAAAGAATGAAGAACTATATGATCTTATAACATTAGTGGACTATGAAAGCAGCGATAGTGAAGGAGAAGATAGGATGAATAAAATGAAGATAAAATGATTGGATTTGCAAGAAGTTACCTTTTAACTTCTTGTTAAACGAATTGTTAGAAAAGGCACAGGAACTGCCGGAGTTTGCAATGGAGAAAGAAGAGGTCATTCTATAAAAGGCATTAAAACACTCTGCGCTCCTTACCGCCAAATTTTAAAGAATTTTCTCAATCATTGTCCCAAGCAAAAATCACCAGCTTTTTATAACAAATATTTGTATCCCTTACTTATTAAGCAGCAGCAAAAATCCTTTCAATAAACAATTGTTTCGTTTTTCCCTTTCATTCATAATAATATTTAGGTTCGTTTAGATTCCGCATGCATCCTTAATTTGAATTATACCTAACGTAATTTTCTCATAGAAAGTCAACTTTGCTGAGCGCAGGTAAGCGCAGGACCCTTCCTAGGTCATTGGCTGCTCGCGTACTTTTCTAAGATTGCAGGCCCCAAATTAAAAAAAAAAAAAAAAATGTGCTCAGTGATTAATAAAATTTTTATTTCATATTCATTAAGTACTTACACTTAACAAACTGTATAAAAAGTAATTACATATGACAAGTACTTACAAAGAATTTAAATTATTTGGTCGTAGTATGACAAGAGTACAGCCGCCCGGGTACTTTTTCGCCTCCCGCGTACTTTTACGCGCTGCATCCCCTCTAAGAATGTCCCTGCGTAAGCGCAATGTATTAATGATGTAACCCCCGCGTTTGGTAAGAGTTTGTTGTATTAATAAAGAAAGATGAATGCATATAAAACTTACTTGACATCCAGCTTCTAAGTCTGCATAAAATCCTGGAGCTTTGAATGTTCTGCAATCGAAATTCGTGAATGGAATTTCACCATAAGTTGGATAATCTGCTCCTGGTTTGCCTGGAATATTTTGCTGTCCATATGGATCTGAGTAAATGTAATCATGATTCTCGGGAAGCTTGGGCTTTTTTCTCTGAGATAAAGCTTTCTTTAACGTTAACTTTGAACTCTTTAATGCTTGTGGCTTCTTATTAGTACCCTGATCCACTGCAACGGATATAGAAGAAGAATAGGATATTGGAAGAAAGGAAACATTTGACGCTTTTTTGTACTCTGGGAATACACGATCCAGTACGCTCTGTGTGTTCAGCTGGTGGTAATCTTCTGTTGCTTTTGTATATTGTTCATCATGATGATAAAACTCATCGTCATTGATATCCGCTGATGTAGTGCCAGCATTGTTCTTAAAGTCTGAAATATCTTCAAGGCTATTTCGAGCTTTATTTACAGATATTCGATGATCAGTACTTGCAGAACCTTCAGAAACTGGGTCATTATTTTTAGTGTAAGCTTCCTCGTCTGGTATTTGGACTAAATCCAATATTATTGCTTCATTGCCGACATTTTGAGGAGGGAACACTGGCAGGGTAGGAAGCTGTGTGGTGTAATTAATTTCAGGAGTGTGAATATTTGTTAAGAAGTTTCCCAGATCACTGATGCTATTCGATGATGACGGAGGTTGTTCTGTAGTCACTTGCGTTGGAGCTTTGAATACAAGGTACGTTTTCTTTTCAGGATCATTCGGAGCAGTGCTTTCGGGTGCATCTGTGTTTCGTATGTAAACAGGAGGGCTGTTGCCAGCAGTATTGCTGTTGCTACTACCGAGGTGTAAAACTGGAATTACTTCTGGAATCTCTGTTCTGATGCCATTGTTGTGCAGTGATTTTCTCGATGGTAACTGTGGCTTATTATGGTCGGGAATTCTTCGAGCGTTATTGTACGAGTTCAGATTCTCATTTTGATTTCTATTTCTTACATTTCTGTCCACTTGTGATCTGGTAATGAAGTTTGGTCGGAAAACTGGATTTTTTTCTCTGTTGTGGTCTTTATTATTCTTTTCGGTGGCTCCATTATTGGCGTAGATTGTATGTTGCCTCACGCTTTCTTCAACATTTTCCGTATTCAGATTATGATTCCTAAGTTCATGCTGTTTTCCACTTGTGGAGAACTGTGGGTTGAAAGCATTTGAGGCAAAATTCTGGGCGGTTGGATTAGCACCGGAAATTTTTGAATGGTCGTTCTGGATTTTTATCGATGCTAAGTTAGCAGATTCGTGCTGGTCGTGACTGAAAATAGCACGGGCATTTTCTGAGAACTGTTTATTTCGTCTGAAATGTTGTCCTTGAGTATTTTCAACTCTAAAGGATTGTTGCTGATTTCTCTCATTGTTTGGGTTATTTCGGAAGTTATTATTTCTTTGTTCGGGTGGTGTATTGTATGCAATATTAGAATTGGATTGTTGCCTATCAGCTGTTGACTTCTGTATGCGCGGTACAAATCCATATGTTAGTGGCGGATGATCGGTCTTCGAATGCCTGTTGTTGTTGTTCGCGTTACGTTGCTCATTCAAAAATGAAGAGTCATAGAACTGCTGTCTTGCTTCTCTCGGTCTCGCATTATTGTTCGAAGAATGTATTGTAGGTTGCTCTTTATGTTGAAAGTGTTCTCTGAATTGATTCTGAGGTGCTTGAAAATGATCATGACTGAACTGATTCTGAGAAGAAGCGTAAAGAAAAAGAGGGTGATGTTCAGTAAGTGCCACACTTAAATCATCCGCCTGATGCTCCGGGAAGAATCCGAAATGGGGATTAAATGGTTCACTTAACGTCTGAAAGAAAGATTAAATAAATGCAAGAAATATATTTGACAACCAAATGCTATTCTTTTAGTTATTAAATAAATTTCACTTATAATACAGTAGATGCCGTTTAATATGATCACGGTTAATGATATCATTCGGATATTGTTATCAAATTGCCGAAGTATCCCCTTTCTTATGCAAAACACGGAAACTACGTAGCTTATTGCCATTAGCAACTCGGTTAATGTGATCAAAATATTATAGAATACATTTTTTAGATTTAAGTAAAATCTCCAGATAGGTTTAAAATGCATTGTAAAAATTGCTGTCTTCCACTAGTGAATTGCTGTCTTCCATTAGTAATGAATTCAAGTGACATAAAAATGTCGCCAAGTAAGGAACTAAGTTGCCAAACAATTTGGTTTCATTTATAGTCAACTATTTAAAACTAGCCCCCCCTTAAGTGCCCTTAGTGTGACATAAACTTTTAATAACTCTATCGGCTTTGAGAGAAACCCATATATGTCCCTCTTTTTTAGGAGCAAAAAAATCTGCATTTTTTTTTTTTTTTTTTTTACTTGAAAACATCTACGCCAACCAAAGATTGCTGTTTCGTCTAATTTTAAATTTTACATCGATAGGTTTCCTTGCAATGAGGGATGCCCACCGAGTATAAAGATTAATGGTACAGCATCGGTCAAATAATTTACAGAAACTTTATGAACAATTCATAAACAAACTTTTGCAATTTCCTCATTAAAATACTGTCAAAGTGACTGTCTATATATTTCCAGTTATATTTATATTAAATTAAATTCCATTGCTATTTTGAAAGCTATTTTTTCTCATCGTTTAACTTTATCATTCGGCCAATATTTACTATTAAATAATGAAGAATCTGTTTGTTTGTATGCATGTTTTTGTATTCCTTACATTGCGAAAATACCGCAGTACCTAGAGCCACCCAGTTTTGAAGACACGCGATCCTCAACTTGAATCCCTCAAACCCGTCTTTTGAATTTGTTTTTGCTTTATTTCATCTTTTGCGCTAATTTAATGAACTTTGGATTAAAAAACTCAGCACCTTGAAAGCGAGAAGTGACGATACTGTTCGAAATAAAACATTTCTTTTCCTCCGGGGCCCCAGACTATTACCATTCGGAAATAAATAAAATAATTTTCATTCAGTTTTAATCGACAAACGCCGTTTTTTAAAAGCGCTGCATTGTCACTGCCGGAAATAAAATACTTTTACCTTTCACGCGCCAGCAAATTATCTATTTCATAGCTTAAGAAACTGAACTTTCGAATTTAATCTGTTTGCTATTGAGTAAAAAGCCAAATGATTTTAACGTAATAAACGCAGTTCTAAGGAATATTTCTTTTCCTCTTTAACCTGATCGATTTAATTAAAAATGCATTTAAATGAGATGTCTAATTAGAAGTATCCAATGTTTTTATGAAATGACACTAATTGGACTCATTAAAACAGTATTTATTTAAAAAAATTTTATAACAATTTTAGGCGGCAAATTCAAAAAAAAAAAAAAAAAAAAAAAAAAAACTTACACATTAAAAAAATTATTAAAACTATTGCGGAAAAGTACAAAAAAGAAGCACACTGAGGCAAAACACACTGTGCGAAAGCGCGTCGGATGCGAAAAGCTATTAAATGGTTTGATTTTTGTAATTCTTAAATGTTATCTGCCTCGTTAATAGAATTTTACTTACCAGCAATTCTTGATTTTCACAGGAAGTTATCAGTGCAATACCTGTAAATAAAGTGTCTTCAGTATCTGCTGTATTTTAAAGAAATCACAAATTGAAAATACAATAACAATGATTTTCACAAGATTTCTTTTTATTTTACATCGCTGAGTTTTATGATTAAATTTCAAAAAACATAAATATCTTACTTTTGCCGAGTGGTTTATTGCTCAGTTTTTAATCAAAAGTTCCTTAATTTCGCACAAAATATGTGTAAGATTAATTAACCACGTGTTAATTAACCAGTTATTACGATGATTTTGATCTTTAAACTCCTCTTCCTGTATTCCTTAGGAGATAGCAAATTAGCTTTATTTAATTAAGACACAATAACACGCCGAACAAATACTAATTCAGAAGTCAAACAACAAAAATCAGCGTTCTATTTTCAAATTTTCACAGGACTAATCCTGTGAAAACATAATGCTGATTTTAGTTGTTTGACTTCTGAATTAGCTTTATTTAAGTTGAAGGCATTAATAAGGCATTTAAATTTTTCATCTCATTATAAATATATAACAAGAAAATTCACTAGAACCTAAAATAGCTAAAAAGTCCCGCCCCTCCCAATGGTCAGACCAAATATCGTTCTGTCCATTTTATTGATTTTCTGATAATTCTATGTCCGTCAATAAAAGTATATAGCACATCTAAAGGACCAAAATTTGACAAAAATGCTATTTAAATTTATAATTAGAAAATGTAAAACCTTTTTTTAGCAATTCGAATTAATTAACGAAAAATATCATAGACAATAATAATAACAATGAATAAAAACATACTTTGTTAGAAATTCAATGCAACCGGAGGGGGATTATAAATAGTACAGTAATAAAACTTAAATTTTGCAATTTTATACAATATTGATATGAGACAATTTTGCATGATAAATCAGTATAATGTAGATCTTATAATACTTACTATTTATTTATAAATTGATACTTAAATTGTATTATAATTGATTTCTTCCTTTTCTTTTTCATTATTCTATTTTATTATAATAGATTTCTTCCTATTCTATTTTCTACTTCGATGTGTAACTTTTTTTCTTTTTTTACCTCATACACACTGTTTTCTGGCAATTCTAGCGCTTCAGCTTCATATTTCTCAAATTCATTTCAAGCAGACTGCACAAAATCTATTAAAGTTTCAAATAACGATGATACTAAATCTAATTGTGCCATAGAATTCTGAGAACTTGACTTATTTGATTAATCTTTGTAAAATAGTATCTCACACAACTGTATTTAGTGCATTTTCAATCTTTAGTAATTTTTTTATAAAGAACTTTAGCTTCATTTCTAGTGGAAGGAATTTTCTCTTGATCATCTGCCAAATAACTCAAAGATTTTAGAACCGAAGCATAGTTTTCACACAATGCCTTAGTAAAATTTGCATCAACCCACCATCGTGTATATGAACGATATTTTAAAGTCGGTTTTTGTTTACTTTCTTTAAATTTTTCAATAATAATCTGCCATTGGTATGTTAAATTAGAAAAAAATTATATAATTCTTGTAGTAAAGAAAAAAAATACAACATCAGTACAAGATTCTGCAACATTTATAGTAACCAAATTCAAAGAATGAACAGAATATGGTACGGAAGCTGCAGTAGGATTAATATTTTTAATTCTTGCTCAAATACCTGAATATTCCCTGCCCAAATTGGAGACATTATCGTAACTTAGGCCCCTGCAGTTTTGTATGTCAAGACCTAAATCTTCCAAAACTTGTTGTATAATATTAGTTAAATGTTCCGCATTGTGACCAAAAATTTGTATAAATTTTATGAACCTTTGGCATCTATCTCTTAATTGCGACATTCACGACTTTTTCACCCATTAATTTAACAAATTCATTTACAATTGTAGATGATAAATAACTCACATTGTCAGCGTTTTGATTACCAGAATTTTCGATATGCTTCGCAAGAAATGGGTCAAATTGGGCTATCAATTTGAGGCAAGTCAAAAAGTTTCCATTATGAGATGAGCCGAATGTTTCATTTTCTCCAAAAAATGTTGCACCTCTTGATGATAAGAATTTAACTGTTTCAACAACTCTTCGTAATACTGACCGCCAGTAATGCACTTTACCCTGATATTGCTTGATTAGTGTAGAATCAATTCTTTCTTCAGTTTTAAATCTTTGAGTAAACTTTAAAATAGATTACCTGTGCATAAAAAGAATTTTCATGCTCTGTTAGCCGAATGACAACATGCTTACAATCATTGAAGCCAGATGTTGAAAGGCTAGTTGTTGTATTTCCAAATAATTTGCAAATCCAGCAAAATATTTTATTTTCTGACGCTGATGACACCAGCCATTCTCTTACCAAATTTTTTTTTTGGCCAAGTTCTTAAGTCTTTTTAATTTCCTTTTTTTTTTTTTTTTTTTTTTGGCTCCCAAACATGTAAGACCGCTCCATTTATTTTATTGTAACTTTAATACAGTGTAAATAAGAACCTAGTCAAAATAAATAAATCTCAATAAATTATCCAATAAAAAATAAAACTCTTATGCGTACAACATGCAATACCACGCGCAAGAAAAATAACAAACGAACAACAAACTGTTAAGATACCGGTTGCAATCATCACTATGCGTTATTATTCGATATTTGGGAAGGGATCCAGGTAGATTTTCACAGTATTTCAAATGAAATTAATTAATCAAAAGAATATTTGACATTTTGTAAGAATTTTGAGAAAATACAATTTATAAATGATTATTGTGATTTCTCAGTGTTGTGAGAATCCAACAGAATCCACTGAACACGATGCAACTGAATTTTTCGCAGTTGCGATTAACCCTTTGCGGCGCAGTGTGTCCAGTCTGGACAAACCTAAAAATTTCCTTCTGTACGCACAGAAAAATTGAATGAAAAAGGATTTATAGGTTACTATAGGTTACTCTGAACCTTCTTTATTTATAGTAGATGGCAGCTCAACACAAACCAGTCCATATGTTTTAGCCATGTTTAGTTTTTTAAGACCCTCATTTTTCAAAGAAATCTTCCAGATTTTTTTAGGGTATAAAAGGAATTGTTTGAAAAGAAATTTCTATGCTATTTTTCGGCTGTATGCTAATCTCCTTATTCTATATTAGTTTTAAATCTTTACCTTGAAATCTTGCCTAAAATCAAACGGCGAACCCTAGGTGTGCCCAGACCGGGCTCACCGATAATCTAGGACAACAGAGAGTCTGTATTCTTTGTTTTTCCGCATCTCATCGGTCAGTTCATTGACAATAATTCTCGTTTCAGCACTCTTTTCGAAGCTCTATTAAATCAATTTGCCACTTTGGGCACAACCACAAACGATAAGTGCTATTTTCACAAAATTTTACTTGTGTACTCCTCTAGGCCTAATTAGACTGCCTACCGTTTTTAAAAAAATCAAAACTCCGACTTTAAAAGGTAGCGTGCCGGAAGAGTTAAGATGACCTAGGTAACAATCATATCGCTGCAATTTGTGAACTATTCACACCTTTCCGAAATCAGTTATCTGATTGTTAACTTTGCCATCTAACTGCTAAAAATTCATATCCTTGCTGACATTAGGATGGAATTCAGCTAAATTTTCGCAATTACGATGGCTCAATTAAGCCAATCAGAAACCAGTGTTTTTGTAAACATATCGCATTTTGCGATATGTAAAAAAACAACCTTTTGATTAGCCAAATTTATCCATCGTAACTGCAGAAATTTAGCTGAATTCCGCCCTAGAAAGCCATGGATTTATGAAATATAGAATTTTTTTGTTCATACGCTAGATTAATGAAGAAGCTAACACAAAACTGACGGATTTTACACTGTACTGATATTTTGTTTAAAAAAAAGTTTATTAAAGAAGGAAACATAAAACAAACTTTCTATTCGATTTAGGCCACCCCGTCTGATGGGAGGCCCACGGCAACTGCTCCGTATGCCTCTGTCTTAGTCACGCTTTGTCTGTACCTGAATATTCAGTCAACTATATTTGTAAATCACTACTCAAGAAGCTGTAAGCATTTCAAAATGGTTCTCTTAGAATTTTAATGGATATCTTACACTATTTACGACCAGGACGAACAACTTTTCCCCAGAGAGGATTTATATATTTAGCAGCCGATCAAAGATCTTCCTTTTCACAATTTTCTGGCCAAATGAACATCCACTGATAACCAATTAAGAATCTGTATGCAATGAAACATTACAACTCTTAAGAATTGCAACCTAAGTAGGACTATTCTACCTCTTTGATTAAGAAAAATGGCTAACTATCCAGCGTCACTGCAGGAGTTTTCCAGTTATTTGTAAGCAAATTTAATTTTTGGTCATATTTTTGCAATTTTCAGGTTTATAGGACAATTAATTTTTTCTGTTACATATGGTAAAAAAAATATTTTAGAGTTTTTTTAGAAGAATAATATTTTGATTTTTTTTTTCTTATTCCTATTTTGGCGTGTTTTGATCGGCATTCGGGTTTTTCAATGGTTTGCCCGTCATTCAAGATTTAAAATTTTTCTTGGAATCAGATCGTGTCCGGGTATATCTATCTCATATTTGAAAAAAAAAATCAAATTAGTATGAATCAACTTAATTTGAAGAGATTTCTGAAGAACTTTTCTCCCATCGCAATAGCATTTCATGAGCTGACAGAGAGCAAGCAAAAGTTCGTGTGGACAAAAGAACCTGAGGATGCATTTAACAAACTGAAGAAAGCTTTAAATTCTGAGACAATCCTGACGTATCCTCAGCTTGACAAATCCTTTATTCTTGATAGGGATACAAGCAATAAGCATATCGGTGTTTTTTCGTCCCAAGAAATAAACGTTATAGAATGTGTCGTAGCATATTGGTGCAAATGTCTATCTAAACCGGAGAGGAATTATAGTGTCACTAGTAAGGAGGTACTAGCCGTAGTTAAAACCATAGAACATTTCCACCGTTGCCTCTGGGACAGGAAATTCCTGCTCCATGCAGATCACACACCATTGACCTAACTGTTAAATTTCAAGAA